CCAAATACTGGCGTAAAAAATTGCATAAGAGGAGGCAGTGCCTCCGTCTAACTATGATTGGCTGATTCACTAGTCAATGCAATAATGCCTGCCTGTCATGTTCTCTTGATCAGTATGATTGGCTGATATGCCTGTTAACGAGATAATGCACAACAGGTTGGTAAATCAGTCTGAATGGGTCAGACTGCTGTAAATTGATGGGTTAATCACAGAGCACAGCTAGCATGTTCTGTCATAGCTGAGTCTAACTGAACTTGAAATGACTTAAACTGATGATCTGTGAGTGATCTGACTTTTAGAGTGCATCAGCTCTTTTTTTCTGAATATTTGTTGACTAATGGTCTGAAAAGGTGGCTATTAATTAAAATAGCAGAAAACATTTAAATTTTTGAATAGAAAAAAAACTAAAAGAAACATTCTAGGGCTACCTCCACATTAATCCGTATATATTTCAAAATGCTCTCCATCCACACTAGTGTTTATAAGCATTTTCCAAAAGTTGTTCATCTTTACTGACCAGTCTAAAAACTGTTTAAATCACAATGCTGTGCGTCCATAAAACTTTACGCTGATATCAGACATAATAAAGTTCTTATGCTATTCTTATGGAATGATCATTTTATCAGCAAACATCCCACCTTTCACTGGTGCATCCAAGTTGCACTTAATCGGCATGTCATGGTCGAAAATGCAATTGCCCTTATGTTTCACTTCTGGACAGCAGTTGCAAGTAAATATTCATTCTTATTTACAGGATTGTAATGTGAAGATTGTACAAAGTAATATTTATCTTAAGCAACATTATTGAAGTGAATAGCAGGCACAACAATGCGGGTGCACTGGTAGATGTAAATGGGTACAATATGCATCACATGGCTAAATGTGTCAAAGTTTTTCATTTTCACAGTCCGTACTACAACATGAAAATTACGTTTTCAAATTCAAAATCCACATGGGAGAGCATTTTCAAAAAGCTCTGATTTTGCTGGACAAAAATGCTCTGTCAGTGTGGACAAAAGGCCAAAACCTACAGAGAAAGATGCATATTCAAATGTATCCAGATTAATGTGGACGTAGCCTTATATGCTTATGCTATATGCTGTATTATTGTTATTTGAAGCAATATATAAAATAATTTAAGATTTTAAAGTGATTTGTTAATATGATTATGCATGATGTGCATCATTTTTGATCGCTAATTGTTTAGTCTGTAAGGCAGAGGCCTGTTCTCCATCTTCTCTTCTATCCACTGTTAATGTCAAAGGTTTTTCGCTGTGCACAGCAGTGCTTCCCGGTTCGGTTACTTTTTCTGCTGGCAAAATAACAAGAGCTTTCAAAAAAAAAACATATACAATGGCTCTATTAATAACAGGAGATGACTGTCTGCCTGCCAGTTTGGCAAAACTTGCATTGTCATTTTGTGAGTCAGAGCCCAGCCTCTCTCCTTCTCTTTCTCTCAGGGCTGAAAAGTGTGATTGCAGCAGACATATACATTGACATAAGGGAATACTCAGGAGTGATCACAGTTCTCGTCCTCCACAGAGAGAAGAAAAAGGAGAGAGAGAAAGAGTGCTGCTCCTCCCCTGTGGCCTTGTTTCCTTTCCTAGTGAGAGCATCTGACAGCTCTTCAATATGGTGCCTTTGTCATACTCGTGCCCCCGGTTTATTGATCACTGCCTCTGCATGGCCCCTCATAACATGCAAACAGATATACACACACAGAGTTAATGGATTAGTTTGCACAAAAAATATATATATTTTTATTTAATCAGACATAATATGGTGAGAATTATGACAAAGTAATTTTGGAGTGAACTGTTCCCTTATATGTACTGTAAGGTCAACAGAAAACACCAACCAGTCTTCTGAATGGCTGAATAATAGCGTTTAGGACTGTCAAAGAGACTGGTGTTATGTCTAAGGACGCATAGTTGAGTGATATCAGGAACATTTTCTGCATGGCTATTATAGAAAAAATTGCTTAAAATACCTTTAAGCTTCAGAAGAAATAAGATAACTTCACTACAGTTGCTGTACAGTTTTTTACAGATACTGACAAATACTGCTAACATGGTATTCTATACATGGTAAGAAATACTCTTTCATATGTCATGATACGCTGCCGGAAGGAACGAAGGAGCCATGGATAAACAAAAATGTAATTTATTCAATCAAACACACAGGGTAAATCCACACTTGGAAGGGAAGGAAGACACACGTACACAACTGGTAGACCCGACAAAGGAGAAATGCATAGATTGGAACTTAATATACATGACTTAACGAGGCAATTGGAAGGAACACAGGTGAACAGAATTACTTATTAGACAGGGGAGAAACTGGGTCACGGGGAGGGAAAACACCACAAAAACAGTCCAGTGGCGTGACATTACTCCCCCCTCCTGGAAGGCGCGTCCCGTGCCATAACAACAACAGAAGAAGGGATGGGTGGGAACTTGGGAGGAGGCTCAGGAGGAGGACGGACACCCAGGAGGGGGCCGGCAGACAGAGACCAGGGAGGAGACAGGAGGGTCTTGAAGCATGCGGCGCCAGGTGGGACCCAGGCCACAGCCATAAAGGCGACCCATGGTGGAGCCAACAAAGGGAAGAGCCATGGAGGAGGAAGGGCTGACGACTCCAGGGGGCCAACCGACTGCGTCGGAGCAGATGAGCCAGGGCGACGGGGAGGATCCAGAAGGCCAAGGCGGAGCAGATGGTGCTGGCGACCGAGGAGAAGGCGGGGAACCAGAAGGCCGTGGTGGAGCCGGAGCGACAGAGGACTGAGGAGGAGCTGAAGGGAAGGAGGAGCCTGACAGAGCCAGAGGGACGGAGGGACGAGGCGCAGCTGGAGGAGTGGAGTCCCACGGCTACGGATGGTCGACGACAGACCAAGCCGGAGCCGGAGGGACGAGGGAGCCTGGTGGAGCTGGTGGGCTGATGGGCCATGGCGGAGAGGAGGGAGCTAGGAGCCATGGTGGAGCCGCTGGGTCGACGGGCAAAGGCGGAGTCAGGGGCTTAGAGGCTGGAGGCGGAGGCCAGGAATTTTGCAGCCACTGTGACGATGGAGGATGTCAGACCTGCTGAGCTCGCACTGTACTGATGGTGGGCTGAGGGCGAGCAGAAGGGTTGCTAGACGACAGCGGTAAAGGAGGCAGGAGTGGGAGGTGGGCGGGCATTTGTGAGCCTGCGGGCTTAACTTGGGAACAGGAGCCCTCTCTGGGCTAAACTCAGGAATTGGAGGGACAGAGGTCACTGACGGAGGCGGCAGGAAAGGGGGCAGGTCGGTATACAAATCAATTAAGTCTCTTTCCACTTTTCCTTTATCCAGATCCATAGACAGCTTACCCGTGGAGCTCCTCTCCATGCTCTCACTGTCCATGATGCTCTCCTCCGTGGCAAGCTCTGTAGCCGGCTCTTGCACCTGGTCTGATGTTACAGGCTCGGGCTCCGAGGTGATCCTCAGCACTGTCGCTCTCTGGCGATGGCTCGTCGGTCCCGGCGGGCTCTAGCTCTCCGCCAGCGGTGGACTCGGGCTTAAGCTCCGATGTAGCAGGGTGATGTTGGGCTGGGCTCTGGGTCTGGTTGTGTTCTGGATCGGGGGTAGACGCTCTACAGACACCGGATGATATCCTCCCTCTAGCACAGTCTGGTGGTGTCTGGGAGGTCGATGGGGCAGTAGTAGTTGGCCCAGATCCAAAACAGGGAGTTCAGCGCAGCGTCATCGAACTGCTGGATGAACTCCAGAGCATACTCCAAGAGGGAAAGGTCCTTGCGGGCAAGGGAGGTAAACTTGACAGCGAGGGAATCCATGGGGAAGGATACACTACAGAAACAAAAAACGCTAAATGGTAAACGGAAAACAAACGGAGGGGAGACACGTAAAAAACTGTCCTTGGTCGGTTTTAAAAGTGTCTGAAAGTATTGAATTGGCGACCATCCCCTTGTAGGATAAAACAGTTTTTACAAGGCTGTTGATTTGACTGGAGTTTTCATCCTATAGGATTGGGCAATTGGTAGATATTTACTCTGTAAAACAATTTTTTAGAAAATCTTTGCTTCACTTTTATTTTTACTGTTTATGAAGTTTGACATGCTGAATACAAAAATCTCATTACTTTTTGTGTCATTAACAGTGTTCATGAAAACAAACCAATATATATATGTGTGTGTTGATAACTTACACAAGCTAATTATTACTGTTATTTCTCATGCATAAAAATTACATGGTACATGCACAATACTGAGCTAAGAACAGTTTGATATAAACAGTTTCCAAGAGTGAGTTGTCCAAAACTTCAGAAGTGTACGTTGGATCATTTTTGTCTCATGACTAGTCCCACGATGTTCTGGAATGCTCCAGAAAGCACTAGAATATTACAGGATATTCCAGAATGTTATAGACACTTCTATAATGTTCTCATCCTTGCAAAAGCATTTCACAGTTTCATTTGAGAAAACTATTGTCATATTATGTGGAATGTATTTTCTTTCCCATTAATGGTATAAAATGAATATTGTGTATATTGTGATAATATTTTTGGCCATATCAACCAGCCCTACTTCATCTCGTGAATTATTAACATTTTACAATAAGGTTTCAGTTTTTGACATTAATTAACATTAAGTAACAATGAACAATACTTATAAAACATTTATTAATCTTAGTTTAAGTTAATCTCAGCATTTACTAATACATTATCATATCAAATGTATACAAAAATCAAAAAGTTAACTATTAACAAAAGTTAACAAAAACAATAGTTAATGCACTATGAACATTGTTACTAACTAAAATTAACAAAGGTTGACAAATGCTGTAAAATATATTTAGTTGATGCTTTAATAATAAAGAGGTCTTATTGTAAAGTGTAACTGAATCATTTTAAACATCTCTGTCAGAAGCACCATTTAGTATATATATATGCCCAGTATATTGAACAATGGTTGTGAATGCTGTCATGTAATAAATTCTGTTTGTGCATTTGTGTGTGTTTTTGCAGCAGGAAGCTGTGAGAATGAAGAGCGTGTATTTCGTGAACGCATGCGTCCCAGGAAAAGGCAGGGAGCTGTCCGGAGGAGGGTGCATCAAGTCAACGGACACAAGTTCATGGCCACCTACCTGAGACAGCCCACCTACTGCTCGCACTGCCGCGACTTCATCTGGTGAGTCCTGCAGCGGCCGTCGCCTGATATTTACAGCCTTGTAGCGTGCTGTTTGTACAGCTGCATGTGTTGGTAAATCTGTGTCTGAGTTTTGACATAACCAGTGTACACTGTCCCTCCTCATGGGTGGTTTACCCTCAGTGGGCTGCATTTCCATGGTAACGACAAGAAAAGCCCTGAGGCTCAGAGTGGTGGCGCTACAATATGAGCGTATTGAGTGCGTCTGGGCTCCTCCACATTGCGCAATAACACTGCCATGCACAGGCACACTGTGGTCCCGCCTCTCTAAAGTACAGAGAAATATGGCTGTTTTAAAAGAAAAGGTGCAGAGCTGCTGTGTGGGACTGAAACTGTAAGACAAGCAGTGAATAACAACACACACCTCATGAAATCTACATGTAAACATTTATTAAAGGTTCACCCCAAAAAAAAAGAAAATTTCCTGAGAATGTACTCACTCACAGATCATCCAAGATGTAGAAGACTTTGTTTCTTCATCTGAAAAGATTTGGGGAAATTTAGCATTACATCACTTGTTCACCAATGGATCCTCTGCAGTGAATGGGTGCCATCAGAATGAGATTCCAAACAGCTGATAAAAGCATCACAATACTCCATGTAATCCACATGACTCCAGTCTATCAAAAATGTCTTGTGAAGTGAAAAGCTGTGTGTTTATAATAAACAAATCCATCATTTTTAAACTTCAAATCTGGCTAAAATATAAGTCATCTGTCATTAATATTGCTTTCACCAGTGAAAAAAATCTGACTTGTGAGAGAAATATGCACAGATCAAGCACCATTTACAAGTAGAAACAGTCCAAAACAGTTGTAAACAAATATGTTGGTGGATTTTGATGTGAGAGGACAACAGGGGGTGGACTTTTTCACTGGAGGAAGCATTATTATGGATTAAAGTAAACATTTTAAGTAAAAATGCCTAATGATGAATTTACAAACATGCAGCTTTTAAGACATGAATTGATAGATTGGAGTGGCGTGGATTACTTGTGGATTATTCTGGTGTTATGTGTACATTAATGAGGAAAAAAAATTTACTTAAATGATTTTAGCAAATGGCTGCAATATAACAAAGAGTGAAAAATTTAAGGGGGTCTGAATACTTTCTGTACCCACTGTATATAGCAATTGCTAATGTTAACAGATACAACTTTTTACAAATTTTAAAATTGTGTTAGTAAATGTTGAAAATTAACAAACTAAATTTATAAAAAAGCAGTGCTGTAAAAGTAATGTTCATTGTTACGTCATACTACTGAATGTAGTTGACTATATGTTAACAAATGGAAAATTATTTAAAGTGTTAGCATAATGTCCATAATGATAAAGTAGGTGGAGCATCTTTTTTAAGGTCACTTGCAAACACCAAATGTAAGTAAAAGTCGAATGAGGCAAACAAAGCTATTCATTAGTTAATGAGTAACTGGAAATTGTCAATTCAAAAGACAAACTTCCTCAGTGGAATATATACCATGCTACATATATGTATGATGCTCTCTCTCTCACACACACACTCTTTTTTTCAAGAATTACATTTGGTGACAAATCACAATGTCTTTGTCATGGTGCACTACTGTGAGGAGCACGGAGACGAAGGAGCGAGGAGACGAGAACTGGAATTCAAACATATAGATTTTAATAACATCCATGGAACAAGGAAAACACACCTAGCTGATGAGGTTGATAATGTCCATAATGATAAAGTAGGTGGAGCATCTTTTTTAAGGTCACTTGCAAACACCAAATGTAAGTAAAAGTCGAATGAGGCAAACAAAGCTATTCATTAGTTAATGAGTAACTGGAAATTGTCAATTCAAAAGACAAACTTCCTCAGTGGAATATATACCATGCTACATATATGTATGATGCTCTCTCTCTCACACACACACTCTTTTTTTCAAGAATTACATTTGGTGACAAATCACAATGTCTTTGTCATGGTGCACTACTGTGAGGAGCACGGAGACGAAGGAGCGAGGAGACGAGAACTGGAATTCAAAGATTTTAATAACATCCAGGGAACAAGGAAAACACACCTAGCTGATGAGGTTGACAAACAATTCCAGACGAAGGAAGAACAGAACGGGCTAGAACACAAATAGGGCAGATAACGAGGGGCAGACAGGTGAGGAGGATAACTAATAACAAGGAACACCTGGAACTAATAGAACTAAATTGGGACAGGAACAGGAAGGACCAAATAAGGGCAAGGAAGGCACATGGGGAGCAAAACACACACAAAACATGGAACAGAGTCTGACATTACTCCCCCCTCCCAGAAGGCGCGTCCCGCGCCTTACAACATCTAACGGGGAGGGCGGTGGGCGCTCTGGAGGCCTCTAGGCTAAACTCGGGGACTGGAGCCTTCTCTGGGCTAAACTCAAGGACTGGAGCCTTCTCTGGGCTAAACTCGGGGAGTGGAGCCTTCTCTGGGCTAAACTTTGGGACTGGACCTCCCAGAAGGCGCGTCCCGCGCCTTACAACATCTAACGGGGAGGGCGGTGGGCGCTCTGGAGCCTTCTCTGGGCTAAACTCAAGGACTGGAGCCTTCTCTGGGCTAAACTCGGGGAGTGGAGCCTTCTCTGGGCTAAACTTTGGGACTGGAGCCTTCTCTGGGCTAAACTCAAGGACTGGCGCCTTCTCTGGGCTAAACTCGGGGACTGGAGCCTTCTCTGGGCTAAACTCAAGGACTGGAGCCTTCTCTGGGCTAAACTCAAGGACTGGAGCCTTCTCTGGGCTAAACTCAAGGACTGGAGCCTTCTCTGGGCTAAACTCAAGGACTGGAGCCTTCTCTGGGCTAAACTCAAGGACTGGAGCCTTCTCTGGGCTAAACTCAAGGACTGGAGCCTTCTCTGGGCTAAACTCAAGGACTGGAGCCTTCTCTGGGCTAAACTCAAGGACTGGAGCCTTCTCTGGGCTAAACTCAAGGACTGGAGCCTTCTCTGGGCTAAACTCAAGGACTGGAGCCTTCTCTGGGCTAAACTCAAGGACTGGCGCCTTCTCTGGGCTAAACTCGGGGAGTGGAGCCCTCACTGGGCTAAACTCGGGGACTGGAGCCTTCTCTAGGCTAAACTCGGGGACTGGAGCCTTCTCTGGGCTAAACTCAAGGACTGGCGCCTTCTCTGGGCTAAACTCTGGGACTGGAGCCCTCACTGGGCTAAACTCGGGGACTGGAGCCTTCTCTAGGCTAAACTCGGGGACTGGAGCCTTCACTGGGCTAAACTCGGGGACTGGAGCCTTCTCTAGGCTAAACTCGGGGACTGGAGCCTTCTCTAGGCTAAACTCGGGGACTGGAGCCTTCTCTGGGCTAAACTCGGGGACAGGAGCCCTCCGTGGGCTAAACTCGGGGACAGGAGCCCTCCGTGTGCTAAACTTGGGAACAGGAGCCCTCTTTGGGCTGGATTCGGGGGCTGGAGCCCACACTGGAGCGAGCTCTGGGGCTGGAGCCGACACTGGAGTGAGCTCTGGGGCTGGAGCCGACACTGGAGCGAGCTCTGCTCTTGGATTCTTTAATTGGGGAGTTAGCTCAATCAGTAAACTCAGTAACTTTGAACGTGAAAGACCTGGGTTTGATCCCCATCTAGAACAACCCTGTTACACTTGGCGAAACACACACAAAACAAGGAACAGAGTCTGACAGTCTTCATATTTATGTCACAGAGAGACTCTTTCCTCACATACAAAAAACAGGAAAATTGCTTTTTTTGTGTGTTTTCATTCATTCATGTCTAATCCATAGTATACTATAATATATGCTGGTGTATTTAGTGTCACTGTACAATAATAATAATAACCTGATCTCTCTTCCATTTTCTTCACAGGGGTGTATTAGGAAAGCAAGGGTATCAGTGCCAAGGTAGGCAAATACCTACAGTATATTTCTCTGTCAGATGTTATGTTCATCAGCTTAGACAATTTGTTAGCTCATCAAAAATGTTAGCTACTCTAAATCTAAAGCAACATAACACCTTAGGAACATCATCTTCATCATGTAGGACTTTTCCATACACCAACAGTTCAAAGTGAACACAGCCATTTAGCTAACAACACCATAAAGCACCATGATGACTCATTATATTCCACATATTTTCTTCAAAGTTCTCTGTTTTCCACAGAATAAAATAACACCATGCATGTGTGTTTTCTGCATAAACAGTGACAGAAGTTTTATTTTTAGATGAACTGTTCCTTTAAGTGGTGACTAGCTCACAATCTGAAATGAAGGAAACTACTGGCATGGACAGGAACCTCCTAAAATATCATATCTATATTTTAGCCCAAGCATTCTTATCTGTGAGCCCAGAGTAATATATCAGAAAGTGAAGTAAAGCTGATTTCATCTCCTGCTTGTTTCTGTTGATCAGTGTGCACCTGTGTAGTTCATAAACGCTGCCATGAGCTGATCATCACGAAATGTGCAGGTCTGAAGAAACAGGAGGACACCACAGAGGAGGTGAGAGGAACCTGCAGAAAATCACACATGATGTCTCACATTTCATTTCTCAGTTATAACTAATGAGAGTAAAATATAAAGTTTTGCTTAGGTTTCCTGCGTATTTCTCCTGAGAAAAAAAGAACCCATAAATCTCACAAATTCTCCTCTATAGTTTCGAACTGTGAACAAAAATGATTAGAATAAAATGTCAGTGATTTCAATATGAGGGTCAGAGACGAGATGTCTTTTAAATGCAAGGACAGTGGTTTAAATGCAAGGAAAGTATCTGCTTTAATGTTTCAAATAACTTTTGTGAAAATAAAATGTCAAAATATGGGTCAAATAATGTTCCATCGTCATTCAGTGTAAAAATTAAAAAAATGCTTATTATGACCTGTAGACTACTTATCAAAATATATAAAGTGATCATACAAAATTTTATTATAATTTAAATATTTGAAAAGTTTTTGCTGACAAATGGGTAAAACCCAGTGGTTTGAAGGATAGTTGCAAAGATTGGTAAAGATTTAATTTGTTTTTTAATGTCATCTAATGATTCCTGTTCTAAACATGCCTGACAAGATTTGTTTTTGTAAATTAACTATTGTTACAACGAATGACATGGTAAATAATGGTAAAAAAAGTATGATGGTATTTTATTTTGCTCAGAAACAGGACACTTTCTAATGTACAGAAGAAGAAAAACCATGCTTGAAAAGTTCAGTTATGCTAGTCCTGTTTATTTTAAAGCATGTGAACAATGTAATATTCTTCTACTTAATTTTAGGAAATATCCAGTAAATATTCTGAGCTAACACCTCAAAAATAAATCTTACCTCTGGCATGGAGTGTTTTGACTGCTAAAAACGGTGTAATCTTTATCATAGATGTAAATGCCCACAGTTGTAATATCATAATCATGTTTTATGATTATAATATATTTATTTATTTATTTTGGTTTGGATGTGCGTTTGTTAATTAAATAAATAAATAAAAAAAATCACTGCATTTTGCAGCTTCACTTCTTTAAAATCGCTGCATAACTGTCTTCCTGATCCTCTATCGCCTCCTCCAGGTGGGATCTCAGCGCTTCAGCGTCAATATGCCTCATAAGTTCAGTATTCACAACTACAAAGTTCTGACATTCTGTGACCACTGCGGTTCATTACTGTGGGGCCTGATGCGGCAAGGACTCCAGTGCAAAGGTGAGAGCGGCATTCTGGGAAATGTAGTTAAAGAGTTCTCACAGCAAAAGCTTGAAAAATCAGGGAAATTTAAATTAATTGATAATTTCATGGAATTTGTATGGAATTTTCTGTTGTCAATGCAGTTTTCTAGTGCTAAAATTGTAGTAGTCTGTTGTGTGGTTTCGTCATTTTTATTATTTTTACATGTTTTTTTAAATAATTTTTTATTTCATTTTTATTTTTTTGTTTTAGTTATTTCAGTACAGCAACTTTAAATGAAAATGGGAAGTGTTGCCTTGGCAATTATCTGAAATAAAATAGGTTTAAGTTTTATATATATATATATGTGTGTGTGTGTGTGTATTTCAGTTCAGTTTAGTTCCATTTTAAAATGTTATTTTAAGTAATTTTTCATTAATAGCTCTGGTTTTGGTTTTAGTTTGAGTTAATATCAATGCTATAACCCTGCATCTTCCAAGATTCACGCGTACTCACACTGCCATGCATTGAAATGCAGTACATTGTAACTTCTCATGCCATCTCCCTTCATTTATCTGTCCTCAGTTTGTAAGATGAATGTGCACAAGCGTTGTGAGAGTAATGTAGCTCCTAACTGTGGGGTGGACGCCAGGGGCATCGCTAAGGTGCTGTCTGACCTCGGAGTCACTCCAGATAAACTCTCCAGCAGCATCCAGAGGAGAAAAAAGGTGAGAGGGAGAATCATGGGTGATTAGAGTCTGCACTAGAGAAGTGGGCATATAGGACTGAGAGGTCAAAAGCCTCCTCCATGCAGCTGTAGATAATAGGAAATACACTCTGATGATTACTAATGACATAATGGTCTTCATAGCGAGCAGCACTTAGGTACCAGATTAGGCCTCCTGAAACATAATGATGATTGAATGATGATTTGTTCCTGTTTTTAACGCAGATCTCTCAGGGTCCAGATCCGCAGCCCTTACCCATATCCCCGCAGTTAGAAGAGGATCGATCCAAATCTGCACCCACATCACCATGTGACCAGGGTAAACACACAGTCGGAGCTCTGCAGATTTTGTGTTATACACAGCTTTATGTGGCAGACGTTTGATTACCACATAAAATTATTTTGGCTTGTCCTTAAAGGGATAGTCAAACCAAAAATGAAAATTCTGTCATTTCCTCACCCTCATGTCATTCGAAACCTGTAAGACTGACTTTCTTCTGCGAAATATAATAGAAGATGAATAATGTTGGTTAGAACTCAGATTTTGTTCCCAATGACTTCCATTTAATTTTTTGTCCATACAATGGAAGCCAGATCTCTCAGGGTCCAGATCCGCAGCCCTTACCCATATCCCCGCAGTTAGAAGAGGATCGATCCAAATCTGCACCCACATCACCATGTGACCAGGGTAAACACACAGTCGGAGCTCTGCAGATTTTGTGTTATACACAGCTTTATGTGGCAGACGTTTGATTACCACATAAAATTATTTTGGCTTGTCCTTAAAGGGATAGTCAAACCAAAAATGAAAATTCTGTCATTTACTCACCCTCATGTCATTCGAAACCTGTAAGACTGACTTTCTTCTGCGAAATATAATAGAAGATGAATAATGTTGGTTAGAACTCAGATTTGGTTCCCAATGACTTCCATTTAATTTTTTGTCCATACAATGGAAGCCAGTGGTTAACTATTTGGTTACCAAAATACTTCAAAATATCTGCTTTTGTGTTCAGCAGCAGAAACAAACCCATACAGGTTTAGAACAACATGAGGGTGAGTAAATGATGACAGCATTATTGATTTTGGTATGCCTTTAATTTTATAATGCATTTAAAATGGAAGTCTATGAGGACTTTGTACCAAAATGTGAAGCTTGTATTTTGCCATGCAATGGCTTTGTGTGACAAACAAACTGAATTTTCATTGTTGTCAATGAAATCAGCTAGCTAATGGTCTAAACCAGCCATATATGTTTAAAAGCTATTGCTTTTATTATTCTTTTATGGTGCTTTATTATCATTTTATTGTCATTTTTATTCATTATATGGAAATGATCAGCTAGGATATTTGGTAAAAATTCAACTCTAGTTCAATGCATAAAAACATCACATGAGTTTGACAACCAGTGCTTTACAAATATGTGATTTCTGATATTCATCACATTTAGACAGGCATGGTTAGAAAGTAGTTTTATCACACTAGTCAGTGGCTATACACTACAATTCATCAGTAAGATTGTTTGGTTTTAAGTCTCTTATGCTTACCAATGCTGCATTAATGTGATCAAAAACACAGTAATATTGTGAACTATTATTACAGTTTTAAGTAAGTGCTGTCTATTTGAATACATTTTAAAATGTAATTTTTTCCTGTGATGCAAAGCTGTATTTTCAGCATCATTACTCCAGTCTTCAGTGTCACATGATCCTTCAGAAATCATTCTAATATGATTATTTGCTGCTCAAGAAACATATCATAATGTCATCAAATTTAAAAAACAGCTGTGCTGTGTAAATATTATTTAGTGATGAGTAGAAAGTTCAAAATAACAGCATTTATTTGAAATATAAATTTTTGCAATATTACCAAAGTCACTTTTGATCAATGCAATGCATCCTTGCTGAATAAAAGCATAAACAAGTTCTACAGTATCACACTTTCAAAACTGGAAACACACTTTTATTGTACATGCATTACAGTAAACATGTTTGTTTGTTTTTAGAACTGAAGGAGGAGACAATGTGGGGTCTGAAAGTGTGTAATGCGATTTGGCTTTTTGTTTTGTGATCTGCAGATATAAAGGACCTGGAGAACTTCAGAAAGGCACTTTCGTTTGACCATCGCGGTGAGGAGCTGAAGCCAGCCTTGTCCTCCTCTCTGTCCGAGGCCAGAGAGAACGGAGAGGTGAAGACGCTCCAGACCAAAAGGATGATGCTGGAAGACTTCTCCTTCATCAAAGTGCTCGGGAAAGGCAGCTTCGGCAAGGTGGAGCTTTGTGATATTCTGTCCTCTATTCTTAGGATTAAGTTTCAGCTTTGTTTCCTGTCAGCGGTGTAACTATACTATAGTAGTTTGGTTTGTAATAAAGGCTCAGTTGTTTTGTGTTCAGGTGTTGCTGGCAGAGTTAAGAGGCACTGATGAGGTTTATGCGGTGAAAGTGTTAAAGAAAGACGTGATCCTGCAGGACGATGACGTGGACTGCACTATGACTGAGAAACGCATTCTAGCGCTGGCCAGAAAACACCCTTACCTGACCCAACTCTACTGCTGCTTTCAGACCAAGGTAAGAGACAGCGTATCAGCTCATCCTCATTACAAACTCTGAAATAACAGCAAAATGGACAATGAACCACCAAGATATTATGCTTCTTTAGAAATTATGTTTTGCAGACTGCCACTAGATGGAGCTGTAATATTACATGCTGTCAGGTATTCAGAAAGCAACTCTTGATTTGTTCCACTTTTAGAGATTCGACAGCAGTTTAGCTCTTTATCTGAAGAGGGCCAAGATTGTGGCTGGGGGAATAGCCACAAAAATAGGTCTATTCATCAAGAATATGAACATATTTTAGTCATTTAGGCTTAAATGTTTAAATTTGGATAGTCAGGTTTCGAGCCAACAAGGCTTTTAATTAAAATGAAAACCAGCCATTAAAACAGAAATCGGTTCTTATATTGAAAATAAATTAATACCGTAAACCAAAAGTAAACTTTTAAAATTAGTTGCCATAGTTTTGTGCCCCGAAATGTAAATAAAATATGAATAAAAAAATATGTATGTGGGTCAAAGACGTTAAGATGTCCGCATCAAAAGAAATTTACTAAAGTGATTTTATGTCCATAGAAAGCACATTAAATGTAAGTAAAGTGTCTACTTTTAAGGTTTCAAATAGGTTTTTGGAGATTTTTGGTTGAAATAATGTTACATTGTCATTCAGTGTAACACAATATTTATGTAAAAATTCAAACAACATGCTTATTCTGACGTGTATATATTAAAATGTATAAAATAATAAGGGAGCATATACAATTTTATTGTGTTTTAAATGAGTAAAAAATTCTTACTGACAAATGGGCAAAAGCTGATGAGGTTTATGCGGTGAAAGTGTTAAAGAAAGACGTGATCCTGCAGGACGATGACGTGGACTGCACTATGACTGAGAAACGCATTCTAGCGCTGGCCAGAAAACACCCTTACCTGACCCAACTCTACTGCTGCTTTCAGACCAAGGTAAGAGACAGCGTATCAGCTCATCCTCATTACAAACTCTGAAATAACAGCAAAATGGACAATGAACCACCAAGATATTATGCTTCTTTAGAAATTATGTTTTGCAGACTGCCACTAGATGGAGCTGTAATATTACATGCTGTCAGGTATTCAGAAAGCAACTCTTGATTTGTTCCACTTTTAGAGATTCGACAGCAGTTTAGCTCTTTATCTGAAGAGGGCCAAGATTGTGGCTGGGGGAATAGCCACAAAAATAGGTCTATTCATCAAGAATATGAACATATTTTAGTCATTTAGGCTTAAATGTTTAAATTTGGATAGTCAGGTTTCGAGCCAACAAGGCTTTTAATTAAAATGAAAACCAGCCATTAAAACAGAAATCGGTTCTTATATTGAAAATAAATTAATACCGTAAACCAAAAGTAAACTTTTAAAATTAGTTGCCATAGTTTTGTGCCCCGAAATGTAAATAAAATATGAATAAAAAAATATGTATGTGGGTCAAAGACGTTAAGATGTCCGCATCAAAAGAAATTTACTAAAGTGATTTTATGTCCATAGAAAGCACATTAAATGTAAGTAAAGTGTCTACTTTTAAGGTTTCAAATAGGTTTTTGGAGATTTTTGGTTGAAATAATGTTACATTGTCATTCAGTGTAACACAATATTTATGTAAAAATTCAAACAACATGCTTATTCTGACGTGTATATATTAAAATGTATAAAATAATAAGGGAGCATATACAATTTTATTGTGTTTTAAATGAGTAAAAAATTCTTACTGACAAATGGGCAAAAGCTAGGATAGTGGCAAATTAAAAAAAAATGTAAAATTACAGCTAATTAGTATTTGGGGTGAAAGTAATTAGTCTTTTAATATGTCATAAATTGATTTTTGTTGTAAATATGCCTGACAGGATTGTTACAATGAATGACATTAGTGGGTCTCTTCTGTAAATCAGGGAAAAATGTATGATATTTATTTTTTTGCTCAGAAAAACAAAAACAAAATTACAAATAAATTGATCATTAATGACTCAAACCTGTGAGACCTTCGTTCATCTTCGAAACACAAATTAAGATATTTTTGATGGAATCTGAGAGCTGTCTGGCTCTGCATAGACAGCAACACAACTGAAATGTTCCCAAGTCCAGAAACGTAGCAAGGAGATCGGTAAAATAATCCATGTGACATCAGTGGTTCATCCGCAATTATACGAAGCTACGAGAATACTTTTTGTGCACAAAAGAAAAAAAAAGACTTTATTCAACAATTCGTCTCCTCCGCGTCACCCTGTAGCGCCCTTTTGGAGAATATCAGATGGACGTAAACAACGTATGCTGTTCTGTGTCAGGTGCGTCACGCGGATATGTTGTTTTCATTCAAATCAAAGCACAAACAACGTAGGAAACAGATCCAGTGTTGTGCCCATTTTCGACCCCCTGCCAAATTATTACCCCTCTCGTTGAAATTGCCATCTGATTGCCTAAACCTAACCCCACCTCTAATCCTAACCCCTCCCCCACACCTAACCCTAAACCTACCAATACTAGGGGGGTAATAATCTAAAAATAATCTGTATTGCTGTCTATGCAGGGTCAGACAGCTCTCAGATTCCATCAGAAATATCTTAATTTGTGTTCCGAAGATGAACGGGTTTGAAACGACATGAGGGTGAGTAGTTCATGACAGAATTTTCACTTTTGGGTCAACTAACCCTTTAAACCTTTTTAGTCTTTGACCCATGTATTGATGCACTTCCATTTCTTCTTGTTATTATAAGATATTTTAAAAAGCACTTTAACCTACATAACTGACATTAACCAAGAAAACAAACAAAATACAAGATCAAATACACTAAAAAACTTTAATATAATCATTAAAATGTCCAACAGTAATTAAATTAATATAAATATTTTGCATAGCTTTTAAAGGTGGCATATCATGAAAATCTGACGTTTTAAGTGCTATAATCAGGTCCCCAGTGCATCTACCAACCAAGGAAACGTGAAAAAGATTAACCCAATAACTTTGTTTTGGGAAGCCTTTTTCTGCAAGCGTCTGAGAAAATGAGCGCGACTGATTTCGCTCCCTTGGTGACGTGGCAAAGGGATCTCATTATAATATTACCGCCCCTTAATCTGTAAGTTTCCACCCACTGCGCCATTATTGTGTTTTTGCAAGTGACTACGGTGTACCAGCTCTAATGCCATGGCGAAAGTTCACGCAAAACATTGAGTCCCAGCATCAGAGGAGACGAGATAGCAGTGGATTTATTGATTTATTCACTGTATATTGCTGCCATTTGGATAAATTTAGCATTACATCACTTGCTCACCAATGGATCCTCTGCAGAGAATCCATTGGTGAAGCTAAATTTCACCAAATATGTTCCAATGAAGAAACAAAATCATGTAACATCTTGTATGGCCAGAAGGTGCATAATTTTTTTAACCAAATCTTCATTTTTGGGTGAACTACAGTATACCTTTAACAACAACGTATTTAGGCCTATTTAAACACTTTAAGTCATCCCCTTAGAGGTTTGCTAAAAGCCCGTTTGTAGCAACTCATAATGTAATAACTGCACATAATGTAATAAGTATTACACTATTATTGTTATAAAATGTTCATAATGTAACAATTTTCTCAAAACGTAATAAAATCTTGAGCTTATAATGTAATAACAATTATTACATTATGAGAAATGTATTACATTATAAACTCACCAAAAATATTGTCATGTCATAATTTTAACAGGCTTTTAAAACATAAAAACATTGGTTTAAACTACCTACGAAATGCACCAGATTTAAATATTCATGCATTTACTATTATTATTATGATTATCATCATCATCAACATCATGGTACAATACTTATTATATATATATAAGACGAAGACACTTAGGCATTAGTTAAAAGAGAATATTATATATATATATTTATTTTTAATATATATTTCCTTTTAGAATGAATTTGTTTGTGTTTGTGTTGGTGTGTGTGTATACACAAACAAATTAATTAGAAAAGGAAACATATATTAAAAATAAATAAATAACTATATATATTATGTATATATATTAAGTTTGTGTTGGTGTGTGTGTGTATACACAAACAAATTAATTCTAAAAGGAAATATATATTTCTTTTTAGAATTAATTTGTACATGAATGAAGCAAAGCAAATATGTTCATGTCTGAAATTCATTTGAGCATTTATATAGAATAACTAAACTATAGCTCCCTTTATAATTCAAAATGCACTGAGCCTGTCACTCATCTCAGTTCACCGGTTCAACGGACGGGTCTGTGATTGGCTACACTGCTCAATGCTGCAAACTTTGTAAATAGAAACATCTGACGCTCACCAGAGTGGAAAAGCAAATATGCACAGAAGAGTTTGCCAAATATGTTATTATTACAGTTTCAACTAAGGGCACTCTTGTTTTTTTTTGTGAGAGTGTTTAGCTCCCTAAACTGAACGTGACACGATAAACTGCTTTCCATATGGATTTAATATGTAATGTTACTTAAATAAGGGAACAGTTGGCAATCCTACTTTGCATATTTTAAACACTTAGATGTTCTTACTTTGGCCATGCATTAAATGCACGTCCTTGAAAGAGCGCAGTTTGCAGACGTATTTACACTAACTTCTCAGGTAATGTCTGTGGTATGATGACAACAACAGTGATTAGCCTACATCAAATATATTTTAATTGTTTGATCAAAAAAGTTCACAATGTTCACAATGTAGCCTAATAAGCCTAATTTTCTTATTTTACATAAAACTGTTATTATGTTTTGTGCTCACATTTATTATATTGTAAACATTGTTTTAAATTATGTGCTGGTATTACCTTATGAACTGTGATTACATTATAATTTGTCACTGTGTGTTCATAATGTAATACATTTCTCATACAATAACCTATTACATTATGTGAAAAAATTGTATTACATTGAAAAATTATTATTGCATTATGAGCTCAATTTTATTGCGTTTTGAGAAAATTATTACATTATGAATATTTTATTACAATAATAATGTAATACGTATTACATTATGTGCAGTTTTTACATTATGTGCAGTTATTACATTATGAGTTGCTACACCGTTGTTTGAGAATCACTTATTTAAAGGAATTTGTTTAAAACTTCATAGCATATGGCCCCATTTATGAAACATGAAATATGATAATGTTTTGCCATTCATGAAATAATTTTACTTTAATCATTTAATCATTTTATTCAAATTATATTTCATTAACAAGTCTTAACAAGTTGATTTTAAAATTAATTGAGAAGGATGTAAGATGATTGATATTACCCCTTTGTTGCTCATGCAAGAGTTGCTGAACCTGCAGAGTGGCACATAATAGTATAGAGATCATAAGAGTGGCTTGATGAATCTGATAAGGACAAGCACCGTGCTGTGTCTTAGTCCACTGTTAGGGTCCGGTCCAGGCTGTTGCTGTTGCTGTTCCTTTAGATTGGACAGCTGGACTTCCATACCCACCTGATGTCATTGTTATATCATCATGGCATGGGACCTTTGGGGAAAGCAGTGAGATGTGTCTGTGTGTGTGTGTGATATCGCTGTAGTACATCTGTTCTTGCTTAATACTACCAGACGGTGAATTAGAGTGTAATATTAACCCTGATCTACACTTACATTTTTTCACATGGCATCACATTTAATTACTTGTTAACTAGTCAGCTGAGGTCATGTTTTTCACTCTCAGTTTCCCTCTAAGCTCTCTGTTTGTCCCCTTTCTGTATGATTCCTTCACTGCAGCATAGGGAGTATATATATAATTACCCCATCAAGTTCGGTCAGAAATTGTGGTGTAATCTTTGATGACCAGCTGACTTTCAAAGACCACATTGCAAAAACTGCTCTATCTTGCAGGTTTGCATTGCACAACATCAAGAAAGATCAGCTTGCCGCACAACCTCTTTTAACGGGGTAAAAATGGTGTTGTTTTACACTACCAT